AGGAGCGGTGCGGGGGGAGCCGGGTCGGGTCCCGTCTTCCCTCCCCCCGTGGCGGGCATGCCCGCGGGCGTGCGGCGCTCTGTTTCTCGCTGTGGTTGCCCGAGGAAAGGGCTGAGCTCCACGGTCGTCCGCCGGCTGTACGTGGTTTGGGTTTTGCAGTCCAGAGATTGCCTCTGCGTCGTGGGCAGCTTGTTGCCGTTTGGGATATTGCCATCGCAAGTTTAGTGCTTACCCTGTTGCTGAACGTAACTATAGAAACGTAGAGCGGGGGAAGAAAGCGAGGCAGAGGGTTGCTTTCATCCTTCTGCTTTACCTTTTTGTCTGGCAGCGGAACCAGAAAGGCTGATCATAAATGACTGTCTCCTTTTTAAATTCGCTTATGCTTCTACTTTACTTTTTCCCCTCCACAAACAGTGTTCCCGAGTAAGTTTCGTTCACTGTTTTTTTGCTGTATACCTTTTATTCTTTATGAATTTGTAACTAAGTATCAAGATAGTCCTTGACCTATAAATTTAGGGTAACAATGCTTTTGTGCCCACCATGTGGTTGCTCAGTTAACTAATTGTCCATATAACTGTAACCATTTTTCTTCTTGGTGGCACTTTTTCTACTTGAAAAAGACGATTGATAAAACATTGATTTAATGGGGGAGCTTGCAACTTAAAGTACCTCTATTTTGTTAGCTGTTAAAACGAACTTGCTTAAGAACAGGATGAAATAACAATAGAAGCTTTTGCTGTTACCATCTCTCTAAGAGTTAAACCTCTTGATGAACAGAAGGTATCTACTGAATTGAGTAGAAAAGTTCCCTGATAAACTGCAGCAAAGTTACATCATTGGCGAGAACTATTTTTAAATCTGTATTTTCTCATGATGGAGTATTGGCTATGTGCAGTCGAGGATTAGCAGCGTGTTCTAGCTTAAAGGCCAGTTCTAAATGAAATCCATATGCTTGCTTAAATTATCTTGAATTTTTGTCATACAGGACAGCTGGACATCATGCAATGTTTCAAGTAGGAACAAGATAACGATCTACCAATTTGCCTTTCCTCTTTTCTGCAGTATTCTATAAAGTCAGCTAGTTCTTACCATTTTTGTTGTTGTTGGGGTGGGTTTTTTCTTTTTTCTTTTTTGCCTGCATTTTGGGTTCTGGCTGTGGCTCTGATGGTCTACAAGTTGACCTTAGTGTATCAGTTCATCCCAGGGCACGTTGTCCCTCTAGCTAAAGAAAATACCAAAAATGTCTGTAACTTTACAGTTGGGATTTCAAGAATGGCATGTGCTGAGCCTCATGAGCCAAAGAAACTGAAACAAACGTGTAGCAAGACTAGAACAGGAAGATTTTTACCCAGCCTGTTGTCTGGGTTGCAGTATGCCTCAAGGAGTGAGATCAGACTCACTCGCTGTACACAGACTCAGTGCTGTACCTGGTTCTCCTAATGCTCAGCGGTGGCTTGCTGGCAAAGCCATATTGGCAAGTCAACTATTGGCGAGGCAGCAATTATCTTGATAACAGGGAGCAAACTAGTTTCTTGAGAATAAGCCATAACATGAGGACGGTATATGGAAAATGACTGAGCACTTCTCTTAGTAGTTTTATCTGGGACTTGCAATAGCAAAATTATTCATTAGAGTTAATTCATGTGCATTTTATTTTTTTCCTCTGATTAAAAAATTATTTGTGCAGGAAACTGAATTTCTTTTGTCTTTTTTCTTCTTCTGAAATGTCTGTTCTTCTACTCTTCCCTGCAAAGAGACATTCTTAGCATGTAACAGTTAGATCTCTGGTGCAGGGTTAAGGCGTATAAGATAGGGCCAGGCTAAGAGAGGGATGAAGAAGTGTAAGCATGTTGGGTTGCTCAGAAGAGAGCAGAAAAAGAAAGTAAGTGAAGATGAAGCAGGAAGAACTATATGGAGTGGGAATTAGGAGAGGGAAATAGGAAAATGGATGAGCAGGGTAGTAAGAGTGATAGGAGCCTGCCAGCCGCATGTTCTTTCTCTCCTAGCATGTGTCCTGGAATCCTGGCAAACTGTCTACCCGTAAGGATTGTATGCTCTGTGTGTATAAAAGCTGTTTTGTGGTATGACCCTTCTCTTCTAATGGGTTGGGGGGAGGGGGCTCTCCCTACTGGGCTGTATTTGTTGTCCTGGTGTTTTCTCATTCCTCTGGGATTGTTTCATTGAGATGAATGAGCCCTTCACACCTCTGACCTTATTGTTTTTGCAAACCGATGCCTAGAAACGCTTCCCTCTATGTGAGGCCCAGTGGAAGAAATATTTCATATTTCTCTTCTCTTGCTTCCAACTATTATGAAGCTCCTCACAGCCCACAGATATTCCCACCTCCCCATCTGAAGGACGAGCATGGATAGCCAAGAACAGACCGGAGCGTCCGCCAGGGGAAGAGCAGGAAGAGGTCTTGCAGCGCTATTAGGGGCAGAAATAAGATTTGGGAAAAATACCCTTACAGAGGTAGTGCTGGGTCATGTTGAAGCCTAGTCGGAATTGGGATGTAGCAAAAGGTCAAAACAGTGGGGAAAAAGGAGGGTGGGAAGGATGTCAAAGAGCTGTATTTGAGGGTGTCTGGGCGGTCTTCAGCTCAGTTCCCTCTCCCACACTTAAGTTTCCATTGCATTGATTAATCAGTATTTATACAACCCATATTTTCTGTAGCATCCAAGTGCTTCATGCTCTTGCATATCTATTCTTAAATATTTCTGTGAAGTAAGGAAGGGCTAATATTCCTGTTCTTACACTTAAGGGGGTGAGACATGGTCTGTAAAGAGACAATTTCCTTTAAAAACAAGTTCCTGCAATTAAGATAGGGAAGTGCACTTGCGGCATCTCAGCTACTCTACTGTAACTTCGTATGTGCAATATTCTTGCTCTGTGTGAATGGAAAGTAGCTCACCTCTCAAGTAAATTTCTTCATGTCTGTCACAGGCAGCTGCAGCTGCAGGATCTAGATGGCAAAGAATTCAGATCTTGGCTTATTTCATAGTAACGTGTTCGCAGATCCATTTCTTAAGTACATTATAGAAATCTGTTATGGAGCTGCCATCTGAGTGTAAATTGTCCTCCATCAAAAGAAGTGGCCATTGGCTTCAAACTATTTCTCTTCCAGCTTGTTCAGTTTTTTTTGTTTGTTTGTTTGTTTTTTTTTGAAACAAGATACTCAAATTATGCTGAGCAGAGAGGGTGAAGATGATTCTGAGCTAGCAAAGGGAGTGGATTGCAGATATTAAATTCTGTAGCAGTTGTAATTGTTGAAAGGGACACCGTGGTAGAGAGTGCTGGCAAGATGTGTATCTGTACAACAGGGGGAACTGAATACTCCAAAACCTCACATTTAAACCAAATTTAAAGTCAACAGATAGCCTTCTAGCATATGGGATGTGCCTAAAGTTAACCCCTTCCCCCCCCACCCCCCCAAAAAAAAAAGAGCGAACCTAAATCCCAGCTGTTGTATGTTCCCCTACTGCTATGGAACATTAACTTTATCCTTTTCATTTTGTTAGTCTGAGACACTGTCCTTACTTATTTCACTGTGTAGTAGCAATGGCTGTTGTCACTCCAAGACTAGAGAAAGCTCAGGTGGCAAGGAGAGAAGTGCATCCTGCACCTCTGCAGGCAAGAGACTTCTGAACTGCTGAAATCAGGTGTGGTTGGCAGGGATGATGTATGATGGGGCAAACTGCTTTAAGTAGTACTGTCATCATGTAGTAGTACATGCAGCAGTTGAAGAATGGGCAGGAAATGCAGCCTACCTGCTAATTGTAACCTTTCCTCCTCTATTGGACCATCCCTGGTGGACAGAGTAAGATCGCTGGGAACGTGGTATGTAACTTGGCTCTGTCTTCTGGGTTTCTCAAGTGGTAATTTTGGCTACCCTTGACATCCTGTTAGGCAGCTGGATGCAGCTCAGCCTGTGGTTAGGCATTAATGAAGATTTAGGTACTTAAATACAAAATAAGCAACGTATTGGGGCTTTCCCTCTAGTTCTGTTGTATTTATTAAAAAAAAAACAAAAAAACGTTCAGAGAATTTGAGAGATGCAGTGAGAGAAAATAGTTGTGAGCGAGTAAGAGAACCTGAAGGCTGAGAAATAATATGACAGTGTATTTAGGTATCCAGAGAGGGGAGTATGAAGGAGGAGTGCAATCCATTTGCAGTAAGGGAGAAAGAAAGAGAAAGGAAGGACTTAAGTAAAGCAAACAGTAAAGGAGCAGGTGGTCCGAAAGAGGTACTAGAAAGTAATAGAACTAGGGTGAATATAGTGAATGGAAAGCATCTGAAGAGAGGATAAAGAGCAGATTTATATGTGGGGAAAAAACTGGTGAAAAAATATCTGATCTGAAATTGGTGATCAAGAGAGACATAATTCTGGAACTCTTCGCGACTTTTTTTTCTTTTCAGAATAGCAAATCAGAATCGGTTAACAAGAAACCGGTGAAAGATTTAAAATGTTCCCTAGAACTATGTAGGTCAGCAAAGAATGAATACTAAAATTCTACAGCTGTTCTTTGAAACTGCTTCTATTTTAGTCTTATGTATGTGAAATAACTTTATTGTGCTTCATGTGCTTGGTTATGTCAGCATGTCCTCCATGCTTCTGTTCTCTGCAGAAGCTCCTTCTCAATATGTTATGTATGTTGCTAGCCTCTTTCTTGAGGGGAACCTTTCCTGTCCCTGTGTTACTGATCTTGAGTGAGCACTTAGAAAGAAAGTCTGTTTCCATTACCTGTTCAGTGATTGCATTTTCTGTCCAGCTGATGATTCTTCAAGAGATTGTTGCTGAGCTTTCAAAGGCCCTTAAGTCATACTTATTGATGAGCACAGAGAGTAACATTAGCTAGTCTGTTCTGCCGGCTTTGGCAGAGGGCAAGTGTCAGGCTGGAGTTTTAAATGGGATTTCTGTGCCATCCTGGGAGCTGGAAGTAGTGAGAGACCCCTCTGTAAATAGAGAAATAGTGGTAGTGTTTAATCTGCATGTGAACTTCTAACTGCTTGGAGATTAAGTCAATCTGCTTTATGACAGATAAGTATTTTGATTTATCCTTTATCTGTGTATCAGCTATATATATAGCAAATGTAGTTTTCAAGATACAGTGACTGTGAGATCTTGGTCGAAATCCTACATCTTTCATCTGTGGAAAGAAATAATGACAGCATTTGGATGAGCTGTATCCAGTCTGACCTTAGCTGTGAAGATGCTCTGCATTGACAAACTTGCTTCCTTTTTCATGTGGTCTGGTGGTTTTATTTCTCCTCCTTTTAGAGGAATTCAAGGATGCTTCTAGATTTGCTTGATACTGCCGTTTGGTAGTTGCAAAGCTTGTTTGACTATAATACATATGTGTGTCCTTGGTGGTGGGTTTTTTGTTTTTTTTTTTTTGGTTTTGTTTGGTTGGTTTTCTTGGTGGTGTTCAAAATATCTGCCCGTGGCACATGTTCATGTTTCAGCAATATGCTGTGTGAATGTTAGTTTGTGGCTTCCAGGCTCAGGACTGACTTATACTTAGTTTTGTTCTGCCGTTTGTTGTTTCTGTTTCGGAACTATTTTGAGTAAGGCATAGAGGACCTCTAATCTGGCCATTTGTGCCCCATCATTGGTTTTATCTGTATACATTAGTTTCTGAAATGATATGGCTTAGCAATACAGAAAGGGTATGTAGGCAAGCCCTTAATTTCATGGCAAATCATTGAGATTTCTTTTCACACAGTTCTTTACTCCGTGCTTCTCAAGCTCATGGATAAATTACTGTAACAGCAGCAGTGTTACTATGATTTTCGATTCTTGCTAAATCTCCTACTAGAACTACAGGATGCTTTCCTTGTAGTATTAGGGAGGAAGAAATTTGGCTTTGGAATGATGTTTGGCTGACCAGTCAAACGTTGCCTTAACTACAGAAGACAGCAAAATCTGTATTGGTTGATGGTTCTGAGAATGTTTCCGGTCTGCAGTACTGTGGATGCCTGTATACATGCATGTAACTCACGCATTATGGATTCAAAGATGCATGTGTACATGTATAAAGCATGTGTGTTCGTTTGTTGGGGTTTTTTTCTGTTTTTTTTTTTTTTTTTTTTTAAGAGAGCGAGTTTGTACTGCTACTGGAAAGCTTCATCTCTTGAGCAGGCAGACTGAAGGCTTGAAATGCATATGACACTATTCTGAAAATCTAAACACTTAGTATTCTCAGAAGACCTAAATAAAAAAAAAAAAAAAAAAAAAAGGAAAGTATATGACAAAGAAGCACAAACTGAAGATAGAAAAAGAAGGTTGAACTGGGAAAGGGAGGGAGAGAGAAATAACGTTCCCTTGTCGTCCGTTCTCTGAAAAGCTTCTCGTGTATGGAGTAGATCAGAGAGTAATAATTAGGGAAGGCAGTTTTTTGTAATGAGCCTTTGTTTCAGTGGGGAAAATCGTTGCTTATTTTTGCCAGTTGATATAGAGATAAATGTGTTTTTCAGGTGAGGTTTCTTGAATGCGTTAAAGAAAAGAGAAGAAAAAGAAATGCGTGCTCCGAATATGAACCAGAACCTTGATATAGTAACAAGTATGCAGAGCAATGAACATTTGATTTAATAATTTCTGATCGTTCAGTAGATTGTAAATAAAGTGGAGGTGCCTGATATCTTAATATCTTGGAGTACAAGACTTTGCAGGAAAAACTGGTTACTGTTGTAATGTTGTCCTGAAGGTTTCCATAGGTGCTGCTTTCAGCTTTGAAAAGTGCGTACACGAGTGAAGAACAGATAATCTCTGTGTATTTTTGTTTTTTCTGCAATTGCCTAAGTGTCTGCAGCTCAAAGTATTAACCTTTTATGACTGATTTGTCTACAGCTACTGCTGTAGACCTCAGCTAGTCAATTCTGGGAATATGGTATCTTATGCAAATATCCTTATTGGTCTTTTCCCACAATTGTCACTACTTTTATTCAAAGAACATGTGTTGCCACTTACAGTGCTTTCTTGGTGCAGAGGAGTAAAATGTAAACTAAGCTTAAAAAGTTAAACAGCCAATTGTTTTGAAGTCCACCAAAACCAGAAGTACTGGCTTAAGGTTCAAATAGAATAGGCAAATCCTTGATTTAAAGAAAAAATACATAATTTGTTGGGAGAGCTGTATATGGAACATAGGAATTAAACGCACATCAAGACCAGCAATCTGTAGTTATCTGGAACATGTGGTCAGTTTGCTTGCATTTGTAGCTTCAAAAGATGATAGCGAGGGGAGGTATGTCTATAGCAGTGGTAATCATTTTGGCTATTTAATTACTTGAGCTGAAAGCTTCCATGTTTTGAAGATGGGAATATCTGGCTAGCTCCAGAAGATGCTATGCTGCTTTTTTTTCCTGCAAACAAAAAAAGTGAAAAATCAACAATACTTGATCCGTTAGATCAAATGCATTGACGTAGTTGCTAAATTTGAATACGTAAACTTTACGCTGCAGTCGTCTACGTTAGATTTGGGCTCTGTTAATTGCAGTATATTTAGCGTGGCTTTTGTTATGTCTAATCTTTCCTTGTTTTTCTTTCATTGTTGGCTTACATTTTCATTGTTTATTTTTTTCCCCCTTGTCTCAGAACAAGTAAGGTACATTTCAGCCTTACTTCAGGCTTTGCATGAAAAGATGAACTGATTGCAGCCTGAACTGTTTAGTCATGCAAAACCAAGTCTGTCTTAAGTTCTCACAGCACTAGGTCTGAAAACGTTCTTAGTGGGAATTGTGAGTACTAGTGTAGCATGACTGAATCTTTTGATGTTAATCAACCATGGGGTGAAAAAAAGAGAGAACGTGTCCATATGTACAGACATTGGGAGAGCTTTTAAAACCATCTATTAAGAATGCTGAGAATTAGAAAAGAGTATTGATTTTTCTTATTGCAGGTACAGGACTCAGTTGCTATTTTCTTGTAGTCTGTGGGGCTCAGCTCTGCCTTCATTAGGAAAATAATCAATATCGATTCACTTTGCTGACAACTTGTATTGTTCACTCTCTTTTTGTTTTTTGTTTTTTTTTTTTCTTTTCCTGCCTATCTGAAGCAAATACTAGCATAGACAGACAGGAAGAGTCTTAAAAACATGTTGGCTACTGTGCTTGTTCAGGTATCCTTTTCTGTTTTGAAGGGATAGGATGGAAGACCTCCTGCAATTGAATCAAGTGTTAGAATAGGCTTTATTTTACGTTGGAAGAGTCTTGCCTGGGCAAACACATTAAATTCTTTGCAGATTTAATTATGAGTAGATTTCGGCAACTAAACTTGGCAATCTGTTTGGCAAGAAAAGCTAAATTACAGAAACATGTTTGGATCGTATGTCTGGATGGCCACTTCTGGACCCAATATACTGTCAAATACTTAATTTTAGTTAATGATAGCTATGTTCCTTGTTCTGTACTGAATTTTAAATTTTGTTTTTGCTGCTGCTAGGATGCAGGGGGAAGTCATCACAAAGTCTCTGTTTCACCTGTTGTTCATGTCCGAGGACTCTGTGAATCGGTTGTGGAAGCAGATCTTGTGGAAGCTCTGGAAAAGTTTGGAACCATATGGTATGTGGACTAGTATAAAGTCATATCTCCGGACAAGTAGGAAGCATCATGTAAAAGTTTTTTGGACCTTTTAAAATATATGACGATAGCCATTTCGAATTCAGAATTTAGTTACTAGTGAAGCGTAAAGATCTTCTAAATGTGTAAAGGTGCTCTATTTCTATATATGTCTAGTCTGATCAACCAGAATTATGCTTTCTGTGTGCCCTAATGTCTGCCATTAGACTTCAGCTACTTTTGGAGTTAAGTATAAGCTGTAACTAAATTGAACTGCAAAACAGTACAAAGGTGGTTGTGTTGATATGAGTGAATATACCAAGGAGAGGGATGTGTCAGAGCAGGCGCTATTTCCTCCTATTTTGTACAGGAGGAGTACTTATGATGTGGTAAGACCTGCAGAATGAGATGTTTATCCAAAGAAAGCCCTTCAGTAGTCAAAGCAAAGGGCATAAACTTAAATATCTGATGTGATTGTGTAGCCTAAAGACTCCTCATCTATAAGCAAAGTGGTAAACATGAATTGGTAGAACCAACTTATCCTGAGCTTTGAGGGCTTCGTTTTGAAAACGTGTAATTCTTCCCAGTTAAATGCTTCTATTGAAATTATAGGGTTTTTATAAATAGTACTAGAAGGTAGGGTCTTCCACAGAAGTATACCAAGTTATGCAATATGTAGGAAACTGTATAGCCATCCCTCTCAGAGGGATGAGGTGAAATTACCGTGGTAAAAATACTTCTGCAATTGTATTTTTGACTGCCTTAATATTCAAATAACTGAATTATACTTTTACCTGTGTCTTAAGAATAAATAAAATGAAGTAAGCATAGACTCATTTTGGAATACACGTAGGTACACTTTAGCCGGAGAGATTTACTTTTCCAAAACTTAAACCAGCTGAAAAAGCATCTTGAGTTTATCTTATTTCAGGTAACTAATTTTGCTAGTTTTGTGCCAGAAAAAACAGTATTTAAAAATTTTTTGCAACAGGAGTGTTTAGTGCAATATATCAACTTTGAATTTTTTAATATAATTTGCATTCATTTTGATCCGTTACCTCATAAATGTCTTTGGCGAGTTTCATTTTTCTATATTGAAACTGTAGCTCTAACAAGTTAGTAAATGGTTAGCTAGTTGTATTGATTGAGCGCTCTTATGTAATAAACTTTTTCAGTAAAACAACTGCTCAATGCTTTTTTGTTGATACAATTCCTTAATTGTTTTGTGCAAATATTTTAGAAATATATGACTAGGTCTGGGAAAGAGGAGTGGGGAGACCTAGCTTCCTTTCACGTCTTCATTTGGAATTGTTTAGATAAACAATAGTCATGTATGACAGTTTCGGGTTGTCAGAGTTGCTTTGAGCAAGCATAAGGGAGGATTCACTGTAATGTTTCTCTTACCAGCTATGTCATGATGATGCCATTTAAGCGCCAGGCTCTGGTGGAGTTTGAAAACGTAGAAAGTGCCAAGAAATGTGTAACGTTTGCAGCAGACGAACCTGTATACATTGCTGGGCAGCAAGCCTTTTTCAACTATTCAACAAGCAAAAGGATTACTCGGCCAGGGAACACTGATGATCCATCTGGTGGAAATAAAGTTCTCCTGTTGTCAATTCAGAATCCTCTCTACCCAATTACAGTGGTATGTTTCTCTTAACAGTCTCTCTTTGTATTACTTCTGTTGTGTACTGTTTGTTAAAATTGTATGCTGCTAATCTGAGTCAAAAATTAGTTACCTACCAAAGCTTAAAACTGTCCTCACGTAAGTATCATGCAAGTTCTGGAAAAATACTTTTTCACGATGAGTCTGTCCAGTTGCACGGGTGTTTTGCAATGCACTTGAAGACTTCAGTGGTCAGGATTTTGAAATGTTTGAAGTTGCTACCTACTTCTGCAATGTTTCCAAATATGTTGCCGTAACATCAGGAGGGTCTTTTAATTTTCAGGCGCTGAAGAATAAGTTCAATTTATAGCAAATGGCAAGTAATTTTTCCAACAAGAAGGGTTATTTTATTGTTGTCCTTCGTTCTTAAATATTTCCTTTGTAGAATGTCAAAACTTTGATTTGTGTTGATGATCAAATCCAAATTGATGAACCTTCAGGTTTAGTTTTCAGTATTTCTAGTCATGCCATATATACAGTAGCATCCTAATTCATTGCTATCTGTTTATGGCACAGTAGCTTTTTTGTTGTTTTTTAATGGTACAGATATTTTTGCTAGTATTTACGAACGTATATTTTCTCATGCACTGAAATGTCTATGTCTGTTTTTTTATAGAGGGCATACACAGCATACGCTATTAGATTGCACAGGAGTATTTCAGTAAACATGAAATACATTAGCTTTAACTTTGTACTGTTGTATGGCATAGCTTAAAGAAAGGCGTGGATATCGGGCAGTTTGCATGAATCCAAGTGTTTGGGTTTTGTGGAACCATGTAACTTAATGCAAGTATTAAGCTCTATTTTATGTGCTTATGTTGTGTTAGCAGATGGAGTGAAGCTTAGCATTCCTGATACTACTTAATTTGACAAGCAATCCATTCTGTATCGTGCTTTTTGCTTCGCTATTTTGTGAACATAGATAGGTTTTCTGCTGTTGATTCGTTAGTGGATGGTGAATTTTCTTTCTCCTCTCAGTTTTCTTTATAGAAAAGCACGGCAGGCGCGTGAGTTGCTTTTTCATTGGTGTTTAAAAATACACATGCTCTAAGCTCTAGGAACAAATCCACTATCTAAGTTAAAATACTAATTATAGTCACATGCAAAGAGTATTTTGAAAAGTAAGTCTCATTTAGCAGTATTCATGCATTTTAAATTTGATTTGTAAAAGCGAATGAGCTTTACACAGATGCCTGCAGAAAACTATAGTATCCAAAGCATCATTCTAGGCTAGAAAAGGCTCATGTGAACTCTGAGGGTGAGGCTTACTTATATCGCAGAGTAACTTTTTTTTTTTTTTTAAACAAAACAAAACCTTCTTTTTTCTTCCTCCCTGAGGCCCCCAACTGTTTGTGTGGAATATATCAATGAACGCTACACACAGATTTCCAAAACTGCTTTGGAAGCAAGCACCAGAGCTCATCAAAGACAGTATGGATGAGTCAAGGCTCTCACCCTACCCGTAACAACTGGGAAAAGCGAATGCACCCACAGCAACTAGGAATGTCTGTGTAAATGTGATGAAGAAATAAAAATCTTGCACTTGGCCAATAGGTTAAACTCAAAATTATTAAGAATGCCTCTGGTAAAGTTTGCATTATTCAAAAAGGAAAAAAAACCACAACTCAAAAGCCCAAAACCAGGTCTTCCTCTTCTAAACTTTTCTCTCCTTAAATTAATTCACACCCTCTACAGTTAGAAAAACATGAAAAATTGCAACCAACCTCAAGTGACAAGTCTGAATTACTGCACCAAATTGTTGTACCGTTCTTAAGAGCTTCTCTTTCAAAACAATAGACATTTTTGTAGAGCAAGTGGTCTGCTCAAGGACATCCTGCACAAGAAGCTAAATGAATCTCCGGTTTTGCTGCAAGGTGTTCCCTTCCTTCTGTGACCTGCTTCTTTCCTTACAGAATTTTGTTTTCTTTCTGGCGGGGTGTGGCAAGGAGGGGAAGAAGGGCAAGTTAATTGTATTGAATTCCTAATTGCTTTCCACTCCTTTGTGTGTGTGTGTGGGGGGGATGTTGTGAAAAACTTCTGCCCAAGAATTGTCATTATATTTGTCTTTGAAGTTATGTTTTCCAATTTCCCTACCTGTGGGCAGAGATCTGTAGGGGATTATTTATTGTTCCTGACCTTTTTGAAAGTGACCCCCACTGCTACAGACTTTGTTGTCTCTTCAGGCATGTCTCTGCTGTTGCCTGTTAGTTCTTACCCTCTAAACCTTCTATACATGTGCAAGGAACGTATGGTATTCCTTGGTAGCTGAAGTGCTTTACCAACTTAACTATCAACTTCTGAAACTAAGTTGCTGTACTGCTTTTTTTTTTTTTAAGATATTCTAGTTAAGTAAATAAAGCTAGTGCTAAATCTTTATTTAAAATTTGATTCTGCATGACTGTCTTGTGAACGCTTGGTTGATTTGGGACTCTAAGGTAGCTGATTTAAATTTAAAAAAAAAAAAAAAAAGCAAAGCCATGTCAAGCCATCTGTGTGCCTGCTGGCCACTGATGGCATTTTGAGTAGAACTTAAATTTTGAAAGATGCCTTTTTTTTCCTTCATGTTCTTCTTTCTTTTCTTTTCTTTCTCTTTATGTAATCTTGAGGAAATGTTTCAAGACGTGATTTGCAAAAGGTTACTTATGTGGTTTAAAATGAATGTGGCCTGGAGCTGGGAAGTCTTTGGTACGCTTCTCTCCCAAGCAGGAAGAGATGGAGGCCAGGTGTTTGTGCTATTGCCTGTGAATAAAACACATACCTATATATGATCCCATAGATACTATTTTTGTGGATGAGGAGCGCTTGAATCCTTTCTAAAATTGTCCATCTCCTGGAAAACTTAAGGTTAACTATCTCCTCTGCTTGTTTGATTCAGTTACATAAAACAATCACTGGAGGGTCTTGTGCAAGGCTGCTAGTACAGACAAAATGTTTGTAATAACTCACCTACACAGAGAGGCTTATGGTGCTTTACCAGGTAAGCTAGGAGTTGCACCATTTCATCTGTGGCCAGCAATAAGACATCTTTTTTTCTTAATATCTTGATATCTCAGAAATATCTTTAGTGTGATTTTTTTTTTTCATTTTATTTATTTTCTTATTTATTTAAGAAGTCCAGTGCCCCCTCCTTTTTTTGCCTCCCCATCTGCTGTTCTGCAGAAGGCAATAATAAATATGGTACCTACTCCCTTCCCCCTCCTACCTCGTCACCCAAATAAACTCGGGAACGTACGCTAGGATCTTGGGAACAAGCATTTTGGAAGTATGTGGTTTGAATGTAGAGGAAGTAGGGGGAAAACAGGTTGTGGTAGGGTGTTTCACTGAAATGTCGGTGCCTTTGTGCACTAGGGTTAACTACAGAATGGGCTATCTGGTAAAGGTTGTGTGCTTTCAACTGTTTGAACGTGATCTAACAGGTGTATTGTTTCCAGAAATCGCAGTTCCTGTTTATTCAGGTTCTCAAGCCCCATTCTTGGAAATTCTGGCTGTGAGTGTATATTAGGTGTATTAAATGCTCTATTAAACAGATGTATTTTTCCAAGTCAGATTTACGTGTGAGGCTAGCTTCCAGTACCGTAATGTCTAAATTCTATTACGGATACCTGGTGGTCCTTCGAGGTATTGCCCATTGCGTCAGGTGAGGCTTTACAATGTGAAGTGCTGTTAGGAGTGAAGAGGGTGGTTGTTCTTAGTGTTTAGCTTTCCCTGCAGCACTGAAAACGGTCCCGAATTTTGTCAGTTTCATGTAACATAGAGAAGAGCTGGTGAAAGCAAATCTTTAACAATGGATTTGTATGAATCTAGTATTTCCCGGCAGAAGTTTTCTCTGCCTTATGTACAGGAAGCCTGCATCCACTTACAGTGTCTTTGGTTCAAGTGAATACAACTGAAGTTCTCCCTTTGATAAGCTCTCTAAGCTTACATCTTGGACTACCCTAGATTGCTTTTCTGAAAATGAGCAATTAAAACAATAGGGAAAAAAAGCACCGGCCAGAAGTTTTACGAAATTAAATATACCGTAATCGCAATGCCATTTTGGCACTCTGCTTTGGGAATACTATTGATTGACCATTTGGTGAGACTTGCTGAGACTGAGTGCGTGCTTAAAAAGGAACACCAGCTTGAAGCATGGATGCGATCCCTGATTTTTAACACCGTTAAAGCTGAAGGGAATTGTCTGTAATGCTTGAGTGCTTCTTGTAGAAGGTTTCTTCCTGTTTTCTTCTCAGACGTTTGACTGCCTGTGATGCAATAAATAAACCCATAAAGATGCCAATCATAAATATTTAATTGTATAGAGAAAATGGTAAACGAAAAGTTAACGAGCTTTTTCTTTGGCCGTAAATGCCAGTGAAGGAAAATGGTATGTGCATGGAATGTGTGTGAAATTTCACATCTTACTAAAATGTTTTTTTTCATCTTTCTTAGGATGTCTTGTATACTGTGTGCAACCCTGTTGGAAAAGTTCAGCGCATTGTTATATTCAAGAGAAACGGAATACAAGCTATGGTTGAATATCCTTTTTGAAATGTTTTTTTCCCTGTAGGTTCTCCGTTGCAGATGGGATTTAACATGAGAATGTTGACATCATTATTTTCCTATAAAAATGACATGTATAAGTGCTATTTTACTTTAAACACATATTAGAAATTACAATGTCTTAGATATTAAAAAAAAAAAAAACCTCAAAATTACATGGTGTTTTTTCTGACAAGCGTTCTTGGTCACCATGTTTGTAGGTGATCCTAAGGCTAATAGTTGCAGACGTGAACTATTTCATGGATTTGACAACACATTGTGCACAGAAATTTCGTGGTTTCTGCCTGTGTTGATTGGGTAAGGGCATGCAAAGGTGTGGTCCGACTTCTTTAAACCCTTCTAAAACTGTTCTAATGTATAGTGCTTATCTTTCTGTTCCGACTTTATGAAACATGTGACCAACTTAGGCCTCCTTGACCTGTTTATCATGTGTTGAGGAAATTCTCTGTTCTGTTATCGTACTATTTACTGTATTTGTAGCACTAAGTTGTACGCGGGATGAGTGTTCAGAGTTGTTAATGTGTTACTGCGGTTTGCAAGGTCCAAAGTCTGATATGATTAAGCCTTAGTTTATAGAACTGTAATAGACCTTTCTGATCACCTTCCTTTTTTGTAGCTGGTATTTAGAGAAAGCAGATACCCTAGAGAAAATTGTATTAAACTCTTGACACCCTGTTTTGATTTCAGCCACTACGAATGTGGCAAGCTTTACTGGTGCATCGTTTTTGTAACATACTTAACGGCTTAACCAGTGGCTTCATTGATCATTTGCCAGGCAGAAAGAATTGCCCCAACTTCCATAAAAGCGAACTAATTGCTCTTTATCTCAAGCTGCGCATCCCAACAGACAGCGGTTTGACTTGTTATGATAGTGTTGCAAATTTGTGGCAAACACCCTTTTGTTCAGGTGACTTTTCATATATCTGAGGGGTTTGTTCTCTGTCGTCTTGTGAAAGTTGTGCGGGAGGGTCCTGTGGGTGCTCTTAAAATCTGCCATGCTGCCTCGCCTTTCAATTCAAGTCTGCAAAATGCCTTTTATTAAAAACAAAGAAACCCAGCAATTGAAAGGAACCTCTGAAATGTGAACAAAGTAATGCGGCAATGTAGGTATACAGTTTGGAAAGAAGTCTTAGGTGAGCTTCAAGACGCACCTTATCTGAAAAGGTTCCAAAAACTATTAAGTTTCATTGCTAATTGCCATGCTGATCTCTTTTTGCAGATGTGCTCCCACAGTTCTGGCCAGCTTCTGACCATTTCTTAGAGGTTTGGAGAGCTTAACTCTTCTCACTTTTCTTTTTGACAAGCTCAAGGCAGCTATACGCTTCCACTATGGACTTGCATCTCAGTGGAGGAAGCTGGACCGCATTGAATACAGTAAAGCACAAGGGACATAGTATTGATGCAGAATACTTTCAAAATTTCGCTGAATTATGTCCAAACATGGCACAAGATATCTGGCCTGCTGCAGGATTTGGGCTTTCTGGCACAGTTTGCTATTGAATACCTTGGAGACCATGGATTGCCATGCTCCAAGGCTCTTTGTGCTCGAGAACATTTTTCTGCTACTAATGGAATTGATCTGGGAGTATCTAGGGGATGTGCAATAACCTACATGTTGGGGGCCTGGTCCATGCATCTGCCTTGAGCAGTGGATTTAAAGCAAACTGCTTGTTGTATTTTTTTTGATGCGAGTTTGTTTTTCCCATTCAAAATATGTCTTTTGGCTCTGTGGTTTATTTGACTAACAAACTACAAAAGGCATACTCTTTCTTAGTCTTTTTCTTTGTGGAGTTACTGAGTTCATGACTTTTCCTAGCCTCCCTTCTCTAGCTGGAACTAGCTGTAAGAATGAATGTATGGTCTGAAGTCATGCTTTCTTGCCCCAAAGTTCCCATCCCTTCCCGAAAGATGCAACTTGAACTTTTCCCTTCTGGTTCTGGTTCAGATATTCTCTAGGCTTGCCGGTAACTTTATATGCCCACTGATTAAACTTACCGCATCCACCAGAATATCCTCTTTCAGTTTCACACACACCTAGAGCGTTTATCTTTCGAAAACTGCGTGAGCTCAGAAGATAAACAAAGCTTGCTTCTATATAATCCACACTTAAGAACCTATTAATGTATGAATGGTCTCATCTTGCGCCACTTATGTTCAGCGTCTGTTTCTGAGATGTAAGTTAAACCTGAGAACTTCTGGGAACTTTTCTGTGGGTACCTTGTGGTAATTTTAAATTAAAGTCTGTTCAGAATTTTTATAAGGTATGCTCTTGGCAAAATATCTGCAGGCTACAAAAATAAAACCATTTTAGGGCCAAGGGGACATGGAGAAAGCTGGAGAAAAAAATCCTTAACGTGTGTATGTTTGAATCGGTCTTTTGTGCCCAGAAGGCGAAGGCTGCACTAAATGGAGCAGATATCTATGCAGGATGCTGTACACTAAAAATTGAATATGCAAGGGTAATGCTTGGACCTTCTCTCTTAATTTTACTTGCAAAAGATGTATAGTCAAGACTTAACTTCTTTCACTTTTACTTTATTTGAACAGCCAACTCGACTTAATGTCATTAGAAACGACAACGATAGTTGGGACTACACTAAACCGTATCTGGGCCGACGAGGTAGGTTTTTATACGTTATCGCTGTAGATGTTTGACTATACTAATAACAATCCTTCATACGTGGTCAGGCTGTATCACAATAGTCATTTCAAAGCGAGCCAGTGCTGCTGAAGGCTGTGCTGCACAAGCCAACCTGTAACCCAGGAAATTAACCCTGAGCCCTAGTGCCCCCTACTGCCGTGTGCTTGAGCCAATTAGTTCAACAAGGAGCCCACACCTGCAAGCATGTTCGCAGTTCTCAAGGACTTGCATTTCTCCAAGCAGCTCTCTCTCTTTGGAGGAGAGGAAATCTGATACAGACTATTCCTTACAAACTACAAACTTGCACACTGCTTCTCCTTGGAAAGGACTCTCTTTTTTTTTCCCCCTATGTTGGACGAGGCATTAAGAAGGATAGAGGACTTCAGCAGGCTGACTCTACACTTCATCATGCACCACATCGGCATCAGCAAAAAAAAAAAAAAAAAAACAAAAAACCCTCTGAAAAACCTCAAATTTGCAATTCACCTTGTCTGCATACTGCATGCACCACCACCACAAGTTTTTAAAGGAGGACACTTTCAGTACTTCAGATTTGTGTGGGATGAATAACACGATAGACTGTACCCGTTCTGTTCAAGTTTGTATGTATGCTGGTCTTATTTCCCTTAAAATTGCAACCGAAAAATTGAGACTCTCCAAAATTAAGAACCTCTCTTGTTGATATCGTTGACATTGTTGTAAACGTTTTATTGCTTGCTGTATGTGAGAGTTGAATTCATTCTTAACAGTGTAAATATTGTCTAGTAATAGGGAAACTCGATCCTTATCTGTAGGTAGTTGGGACTGAGCAGCGCAATATCAAATAGGTCCCTTCAGTTATATTTAAGCATTCAAAACAGGGAGATTCATGCCTGGTACAGGCATATTGTCTCTTAAGTACTCAGCTGTAAAAATTACCCAGAGTTTAACTCATGTTAGTGGAAATTATGCCTATACGTGTAAAGACAAACTGCTGTGTAGCCTGACTCCTGTAAAGTGTTTATTTAAAAAAATTTGTAACTATCCAGTGCAGTGTTCACAGTGCAGTGTATTATGTACAATAATGTTTGCAATGTAAAGTTAGACAAGTGAAGACAACGTGTCTAAGATAGAGTATCTATCAAAGGCTATAAAGGAGCCAGAGCTTTGGCTGCTATTTCAAGTGATGTGCGCTTTGAAAGTAATTCTATAGAGACGCTGGGCTTGTAAAACTTGTACGACTGAAAATGCAGGGTTTGAATTTTCAAAATGAAGTTCTTGTAAAAGGTTAACAAGGGAGCTACAGTATTGGTTGCAGCTTATAGAATGTGAATATTTGAATCGGCGTTCAATTTTTTTCTCAAATTCTGGAGTTAAAAAGTGACTTTGAGGAAACTCAGAGGCAAGAAAAAGTCCAAAGGATTATTTGACCCTTGTATCTTCTGATTATTGCAGTGTTTTGAGGTTGAGTTATGACATTGTGCATCTAATTACATTACATAATTGGTCTGCAGATAGATATGGCTGTATGAACTAGATGTTCCCCGAGCAGAACAAACAAACAAAAAAAACCCAGTGGAAAATGAAAAACTTAACATAGGTACGGCTTGCTTTTTCTCAAGAACTGACTCTTTTCCCTTTTGGTTACTTTGAGTGCCTGTCTCTATTTTCTGTACGTGACTTTACTACCTCTAAAAAGAAAAAGATTAGATTTATATTATATACCATGATTTTTTTTTTAATTGTGGCCTGCTCCCATTGGTCTAAAAAAAAGGAGAATATAAATAGTTGAATGAACTCTGAAACAAAGTTGAGAAAGCAGGTGCTTAGAGCAGTTACGCCCATGAAGTAATCTGGGACTTTTCTTTGAGTGTTTTAGTATATGTGCTTCAATTTACTCTTTTTTTGTTTTAAACTTTGCAAAGTTTACACCAAAGTAAGAATTTCACTCCCCCACCCTCTAGCTTAGGTCATAGAGGAAATGCATTTTGCTAATGATTTTTAAGAACTATTTTTAATTCTGTATGGTAGTAAAGTACTTATTTTCCCTCCACTTAAGTAGGCTTCCTGACAAATGCCTGCTGCTATATTGCATTAGATTGAAGCAAGCAAAGCCTATCCTTTTATATTCTATTTGCTCTTAGCCAAAAGGCTCAAACCATAGTTTGGGCATTTCTTTTGGTGGTAATAACCAGCTTACTCAGGTTTTGTATTTCCCCTAAGTTTGTCCTAGTGCTGTCTCTGAGGCTCAAGAATCTGATTTATTAAAAAAACACCAAACAAACAAACAAACAAAAAAAGCTAGACTATAATAAATCTCATCTTTCAGGGTTAGTTTTAACACAGGTCAGTTTTCAGATCTATTTCATTGCCTGGTTGCACAAATATTTGTATTGGCACAATGGAGGGCCTTAGTTCAAGGAAGAAACAAGTGTGGGGAAGGGGGAGGGCAGTGGTCTGCTCTGCCACCAGGAGGAAATATTTGTCAAACTATGCTCTCCCAGCACTTTTTATTCCAAGGTCACAGTCCTTTACTGTGCACGCTTTCAAAGGATTTAGCTCCACGGACTAGAATTATAAAGCTGATTTTTTCTGAAAGATTGTTACTGCACACAGTGTAAATGCTCAAAATAACCAGTAAGACTGCCCGTTCACTCTCCTGAGCTAAGAAGTTTAGACCCGTCACCCTGAAAGGGGAACGGAAAACGTAACTTTATTTAACTGGGGAATCAATTGCAGATAAAAGTAGTCTTCCTTCTATGTGTTTGAAAGCGGTCAGTACTCTTCTCTCTTGAATCTTTATTGCCAAAGTAATTGTCTGACTTGAAACCTGCCCTTAAAATCCTGAGGGGAAAGGGTACATGGGTTTTCATCTCCCACTGTGTACTGTCTAACGTGAATAGTTCCTGTTTTTTGGGGGAAGTATCTCCAGCTGCATTGGGCTGGAGATGCCATTTTCAGCAGTCATACTTAAATTTTCAGGGAACTGTTGTAAATTGCATATTTTGCCCCACCTTTTCAATGTGGCTTTTCAAGAACAGATTTCTTTTTTTTAAAATGTGAGAAATGATTTGCTGCTTACCACAAAAAAAAAAAAAAAAGTTCAGGTTTTCTTTGCCATGCAGCATGTATCTGACTAGAAAATACTGCTTTGACTATGATGCACTGCTTTCCTCCAGTAATGTAGACCCCTTGCTTAACTTTATTATCATAGAGAACTGGGTTTTCTTAAAGGATTGACCATTGGTTAAGTGCATTATTCAGTGATGTTTTTCTTCAGTTGACCTGTTATATGCTGCTGATAATGCAATAATGTACAATCCTTTCAGCATGCCCTTAAATCAGTAGGTGTTCTGTAAATATATATGTACACATATGTAATGCTCTCTGTTTACTGATTATGAAACCATGTAATACAGGTTGTTGTTGGCTTATGCTGAAACTTCTTGAAAGAAGCCCACTTTGAAAATGTGTTGCTGTTGAAGCTAATATTATGATTCAGGTACTGTCTTTCAAAAGTACTGCATTTCAAATTTGTTTTAAGAGACGCATAGGTAAATCCTGCTGTATGGTGTTATCTATACTAATGTGCAATGTCTGTTTAGGAGAACTATTGGGTATTTCCATAGACTTTAAATGTCCGCATCTCTTCATTGGCCACTACTCCTTCCCTCCCCCAATCAACTTAAGTGGTATTTATTATACAGATGAATCTTTTAATTTTGGTGACCCAGGGCTACAGCTTGTGCTTTTAAATGTATAATGAATGAGAAGTTGTTTATAAAAGTTAACAAGGACTCAAATTACTTTTTTTGCTTCTTAAACAGAAGCATTGTGTCTTAACTTGAGAAATCAAGTGCATACTTGTCCATATTAAATTGTTTTCTTTCCCTTCCCACATGTTAGACAGAGGGAAGGGCCGCCAGAGGCAAGCTATTTTGGGAGAGCACCCATCGTCATTTAGACACGATGGTTATGGTAAGTAACATAGGATCACAGGTGGCAATGACTTCTGTACATGTTATGTGGAATTCTAAATATTTAGTCAATGCATAACCATACATGCTGTGGAGAGATTTATAGTTCAATGTTAACACTATACATGTGGTGCTGTCCGTCCATATTCTAAAAATGCTAGTGACAGACTGAAATCCATAGTGCACTTCTTACAGTAACTGTCTTTTCATGGGGAGCATCCGGCTCAACAAATACATTCCTTTGAAGAATGTTTTCTGTCAGCTGCCATCACCATAGGCAATGGATAGAAAATAACATCTGTACTGGGAAAGCGGCTTCCTTCTAGAAAGTGCAACATAGCTTGATAAATGACTTAGTGCAACCCAGAGCTCTTCGTTTTTGCATGCAAAGCTGCTAATTGTGTGCTTTGTGTTTCTTTGAATGTAGCCAATTCTGAAAAGCACAGCCATGTCCCTACATAAGAAGGATGTTCTGGAATTACTGCTATAAAGTTCAGGTAGCCAGTGATGCAGTGCTGTTACCTGCGCTGTCTGTACATAAAGATCTGCCATCACTCTCACGATGTGCATTGAGACCTAAAGGTTGAGAAAATGGTGTCAAGGGTCACATACGACTTTTCTTTATTTACTGTCTTAACTGTCAGAGGCAGTGTGGTTTGTCTTGCCTCTTTCTTTGCAAATGTATTATTTTATTATGTCGGTCGACCTTCTACCTGGTCTTCCAAAGGTTCTTCAGATCTACAGAGTTTTCAGTTCCAACTTGTATTCTTTTTTTTTTTTTTCCCCCCGGGGGGGGGGGGGGGGGGGGGGGTTTAGTCTTCTAATGTACACTTCTGATGTACCCTTTTACCTTAACTAATACGGTTGCCTCTGTTCCCAGAGGGTGGGGGGGGGTTTAGTCTTCTAATGTACGCTTCTGATGTGCCCTTTTACCTTAACTAATACGGTTGCCTCTGTTGCCTCCTCCTTTACCATTGTCTTACTTCCATTACTGGTTTTTTTTTTTTTTTTTTTTTTTTTTTCTGGAAAAAACTGCTAGAGGTGCCTTTTGTACTCAACTTCACATTATTTGTTGACTCAGAAGAACAGAGATCCTCTCCAAATCTCCACTTTTGTCTGTAATACTGATATTTTCTGTGAACAGAAGTATTGCATACTAATAGTGTTTCTTCCTTTTAAAAAAAAAAAAATTACTTATTTCAGTGAAACCTATCACTTCACCTATAGCGGAAATCAAGACAGCTTCTGTTTGTAATAGTGCTGAGTTTTAAATACTTGTGTTTTTTCCAGGCGAGCTGTTTGTGGAAAGGTAGTCTTAATGTCTTGTCTACAGAGCCGAGCTGTATCAACTTGTCTCCTGATCCCTGGCAAAAAAACCCATTACTGCTTCTGTTTTGTTTTCCCCTTCCTCCTTTATAATACATACTTTGGTGCCACGTAGCTCTATCAGTAGCCATGACTACAGAGATGACTTTGTATTTTAAATATTTTTGCTGATGGCTTTATGTTCAAATTCTTGGTAGGGTGCTGGGGGAGAGACTGCATTAAGCAAAGTTTTTGGAGGGGTATAACTTGCAATTCAGTCATCAAAATGATTAGTGAAATACCTTTTTTGTTCATGTATAGAACAGTACTATGAAATGTCTTCCTTTTTATATGGTAATACGAGAACAGACTCAAAACATTAAAGGGAGCAGAAGAGGTCTTGTTTTTTAAATCAGAAAAAGAATTAATAGCACTGCTGTAACTTTTTTTTTTGTTCTGTTTTAATTAAAGTGTTATGGATGTAGGCTTTAGTGCACGATTAAGTAATGAAACTTGTATTTCAAGAAATATGAAAACATGATCTTTCATCCCCTTAGGGTCACACGGTCCTTTATTGCCCTTACCGAGCCGGTATCGAATGGGATCTCGGGACACTCCAGAACTCGTCGCTTATCCTTTGCCCCAGGCATCGTCCTCTTACATGCATGGTGGAAATCCTTCTGGTTCCGTTGTCATGGTTAGTGGGTTGCATCAGCTAAAGATGAACTGTTCAAGGGTCTTCAACCTGTTCTGCTTGTATGGAAACATTGAGAAGGTAAGGCATCATTTATTAGAAACTTAGAGGCTGCTATACTAAAGCCAACTTTGTTAATCTAGTTGCTTTGGAAAAGGCATGGCTGAGATGATCTAAAAATACTGCCTGACAACATGTAAAATCCTTAGTTGTGCTGTTCATTGCATCATCGTTTTTTCCTTATCTACTTCAGGTGAAATTTATGAAGACCATTCCAGGCACAGCACTGGTTGAAATGGGTGATGAGTATGCTGTAGAAAGAGCTGTCACACATCTCAACAACGTCAAATTATTTGGAAAGAGACTTAACGTCTGGTAAATATGTAGTTTATTACATTAATAGTCTGCTACCAGGGAGATGTAATGAGATTGCAGAGGGAGGGTGTCCCTTTGTTTTGTCATCATTGTTACAGTTATGATTTCCTATTTGCAACTACTATTTGTGTTTTACTTGCAAAAATATATATATTTTTGTAAGTTTGACAGCTGACTGTTTTGGTGCAAACTTACATTAGTAATGTATATAGGCGTTATCTAGCTTGCCTGTTAATAAGGCACGTTAGCCAATACAGTTGGTCGCCTTTTCCACAGCTTTTAAGGAAGGTATCAAATCCAACTCATGTTGTTCTCCTTTTATTTCAAGTTACTGAAAAGAAAAGTCGGCTCTGTTCCAATTCCCTTGATGCTCTGTGTGCAAAATATGCAAGTCTTAATTGTTTAAGAAACTTTAACTGTATTTCCTTAAATCCCAGCGTTTCCAAGCAGCATTCAGTAGTTCCGAGCCAGATATTTGAACTGGAGGATGGCACAAGTAGTTACAAGGATTTTGCGATGAGTAAGAACAATCGCTTCACCAGTGCTGGCCAGGCATCTAAGAACATCATCCAGCCACCCTCTTGTGTGCTGCATTACTATAATGTACCCCTGTGCGTAACTGAAGAAACCTTTGTAAAGGTAGGCAATTGAAACACCTGTGGCAGATAGAGATATTGGGCTTATCATAGCTTTATACCCTGTGCTACTTCTAAAAAAGCAAATATCTGGGATAGTTACAGGATAGCAACTGGAAGATCATTGATTCTTAAAATAGGCTTGTAGCCTCTCTATATAGAAGCTGCTATATTTCTACAGTATCTGGCATTTCTCTCTCTCTCTCTCTCTCTCTCTCTCTCTCTCTCCTCTCTCTCTTTCTCTCTCTCTCTCTTTCTCTCTCTCTTTTGTTTCTTATAAAAAAAAAATTAACAAAAAAAAAAAAGATTTTGGAAGTAAAGTTGAAGAGCTTTATGTGGTTTGTGTGGAAAAGACTTGTCCACAAGGGATTTAGCAGCTCTCTGAGGTGGTTTCTTTAATGACTGCTATGGTGCGCCTGTATGTATGACTTCTGAGCTATTGAATTGAAGCGGGAGTGTCGAAAAGAAATATATTTTTATTTAGATACCTGTTGTTTGAGGCAATAGTGATATTTGTACTCTAACAGTTGTGTTGTTCCTGTAAGATCATTTTTATCATGAGAGCGCACAGGTAGCGAAGCCCTGTTTTGCAGACTACACAATGGCATTCTAAAGAGTTTCCAATCTTAAAGTGTTTCTTAAAACGATTTGCCATAAATTCATGGAAACTCTCTTAAAGAGTCAGTATTTTCTTTTTTTCCTTTGTGTCTCTTCCAGGAAATGTTGGAATTTTTGCAAATAGTATTTTTGTGCATTTTTATTGGAGTTTTACCTCTTATTTTATTTTTGTGGCAGTTATGTGAGGATCATGAAGTTCTCAGCTTTATTAAATACAAAGTGTTTGATCCAAAACGTAAGTAAATCTCGACCTTTCTTCCAGCTCTGGTTTTGAGAAGAGCTTATGCTGTCAGTAGAGTTTACTGATACCCTTTCTCCCCTTTTTGTTTCTCGTTTTGACAGCTTCTGCCAAAACACTTTCTGGTCTGTTGGAATGGGAATGTAAGACAGATGCAGTGGAAGCCCTCACTGTACTTAATCACTACCAGATAAGAGTCCCAAGTAAGACAACCTTACTCCTTTTTTTTTAATCCTATTAAAAAACAAACATTTTTTTTTCTTTTCTTTCGCATTGGTATTGTCTTTGCTGTAAAATGTGAAGCTTCAGTAGCTCAATCTCTGCAGCTAAAAATGGCTTTATTTACCGTGTGTGTGTGTGTTATGTATATAGTATACTATGTAATCCTGTGTCGCTTAGGGTCCATTAGGCTCTTATCTAAATGAGAATCTTTCTTCCTAGCTTTTGGGTCAAGCTGTAGAAATCCAAATATGCTCCGAGACTTTCTGTGTCCCAAACCGTGGTGTGTTTTTGTTTATTCTTTCCCTTTCCCTAACTTCAAAGAAGGAAGGCAGGAAAAGCATTGCTTAAAAATCCACTGTCGTCAAAATCAAATCTAATGTATAATGACTTGCTAAAGCTTTTAAAAATCTTTCACAATAAATGCAGAGAAATCTGAAACACCTTTGGGTAGAAGATTCTTTAAGTTACAATTTTTGTTTGTAAATATACAGTTTACTGTTCTGAATTAACTATTCCCTTACAAATCAGATATTGTGGGGCCAAACTGAGTTTATTGGAATCTAATAGGAGTGGAAGAGGGGTTCACCTGCTAGACATGCACGCATACACAGCGAGCTAGATTTGCACTGTACAGTAAAGACAGCTTACTGAAATAAATTGAATTATTTCAGATGTTCACAGACATAATTTGGAATCTGGCCCAGTGTCTAATATTATTTTAAACTACCTTCTTCACACTACTATGAATTTGTCTCTTCCCGGCAAGTGTTAATAGTTTGTTTAAACCTTTTTTATCTGTGCTCCCTCCTGTTTTCTCCACTCTCTCAACAAGAGAATGAAATTACTTCAGGAGCAGGAATTTTCTTAAGATATTGTTAACATACTCACAATTTTGTGTTTATCTGTCATTTTGGAGAGGTGGTACAGGCAGCAGAAGAACTTGCTCTTTCAGCGTGAAAAAAGACGTACCATAACGTAGAGTCAAGTGTACTTACTAGAAGAAAATACAGAGTGTATTAAAACAAGGACCACTGGTTCGGACTTGCCCTAATAAGATTGCCTGAGGTGGGCTGAGCCAGGAGGACTTATTTTCCATGACCTAGGAGTGGTACCTGTGTACTGCTGTCTGCGGCCCTTGGCAGCCTTTATGAATAGAGAGGGGTTGTTTTATGCCTTACTTTCTGGAGAGGCCTGAAGGGGTAGATGTCCTGCTATTCCTTCTCTCTATCAAAGATGCAAAATACTGTCCAGTGCCACCCCATCTCTGATGGAAGTGCCACGTTCTAAATCTTGACATCCTGATGAAGCTGTGCCCTTTTGTCTTTGCCATTGCCTGTTAAATACTGTTCTTCTGAATAATTTAGAAGGGAGGATGGGCAGTCATGGTAGGGTGTCTCTTTATTGCATGTAGCTCAACATACGGAGTGCTGTCTGTATTCTCTCATGATCAAATCCATCCCTTTGTTGCTCTGCCTAAAAAATGCTGGTAGATTATTTAAAACAAAAAAAAAATAGACTATTAACAGGGCAACAGGTAAATACCCTTTTGGGGGGAAGCATTAAACCTTCAGGACCGATAAACTTGTCAGACTATGCAAGGTGCCTTGAACAAGAGCGCCGTACAGAATGCAGTTTACTGAGTATGTTCTTTGTCTCCTGACAGATGGCTCTAACCCTTACACCTTGAAGCTTTGCTTCTCTACTTCATCCCATTTATAGAGAAGAGGACAGCATGTTAAGAGCTACGTTCACCTCGATTTGCAAGTTTGAAACTACACTTCATTCACAAAGCTCTAAAGTGTTTGCTCTAACGTTGCCTTGTTTCAACTTAATTCTAATATCTTTTATCTTGTTTTATAATAAATGGATGTTCCTTCATAAATACAAACCAGATTTTTTTTTCCTCTTTGCCTCTGAGAAGTACGTGTTGTAAGCTAACTACAAAGTTTGTATTTCATTAATGTAATACTTCAAAAATCTAAAGAAACACCAGTAACATATACAAGATAGTGAGAGTGTACCATTCAGACCTTAAAATGTCAATTGTTTTCTTCCAAAAATGAAATTTATTTGCATTTTTGATGTTGAAGATTAGCAAGTATTTTTCCATTTGTAGTTTTAATTGGCAGGTAGAACTATTACATCAGAATTTTAAATGTAGAACTTGTTTTTCAGTATGTTAAGTAGTGAAGTATGTTGCAATAAATACTAAAAAAGCTTGTATTTATAAAATGCTTAAATCAGGTTAATGTTGCACATACTGAATTTTAAGTAGTATAGACTTAGTTGATTTATATTCCAAACAAAGCTAATGTAGAAAATAAGTATGTACACGTGTATGGTGTGAATTCATACTTATTTAAAGTGGTTTTGGGTTTTTGTTTGTTTTTTTTTTTGGAAAACTATTTTCCATTTGCATTAGCATGATGCCGTCTATAGCTAGTCCCACCGTAGGGGCCTTTTAAAAATTAAAATTGCAAGCCTGTATCAGCGTGTTCATCCTCCTTTTCCGTAACTTAAACTTAAATCTTTGATGTTTAACATATCCTCTTGACTTTTTAAAATATTGGTTATGACTTATTAAATGGTAAAAGTTGGATATGTGAGAACAGAAGATTGATCACAACAGAACAAAGGTGGTAAAAGCAGTTTAAAAAAAATGCAAGCCCCACCATACTCTCTCATACCTGGATTGTTATTTGATTTACACTTAATGTTTGTATCGGTGTTTTGTTTCCTTTTGTCTGATTTTTATTTCATACTGCCGGTATGATGATAAAAGGATGCATAGGGTGAATAGACTTGGCTAGCCTCTTATTTACACTGATCTGATTGATATAGGTGGGATTCAGCTAATATACTTCTCATGAATTTCATATCACGTAATTAAATGAGAAATCTTTTGTTTTGGAGAAGATGATTTGTTTTGTCCCAGCACTTAAGAGCCTCGATTCTCTGCTCCAGAACTGGAGTTGCAGTCTTATTCCAGCCCAACCCCAGAAATGGGAATCCAAGCATGAAAGTTTGGAAGCCAATTACCCATGTTTGTTCCCCTTTCTGAATATGCAACAGTCCAGTGCTTTTTTCAGTTCTGCTTAGTGATCAAAGAAAAGTTACTTTTATCAGCCATTTTATCTTATATTTTATCGTACATGTTTTGTCCTAACTTCAGCTGCAGGATTATTCTATTCATGTACACTTGCCTTTGAGGGAGTATGTTGCAGTCTGTTTACAGACAGTGGGTATTGCACACATCTTTAAATACAGACTAGACTTTCCCCACTCTTAATTTCAAGGTAGAAACACCTAATCAAGGGAAAACAAGTCAGCTGTCTTTCAGGTTTTCCAGTCAGCAATGATTCGGTTCCATCCTGGCTACCACCGTTTCGTTCATGCTTCTAGTAATGAGTATTTCAAGAATTCAAAGCACGCTGCTAATAATGTGTGTACTGGGACCCAAGGGACAGCTGCACTTTGTTTGGCAGCCCTTGCTTCATGTTACCTTCTGCATACGATTTGGAGTAGTGATGGCTTCCTGCCTGGTCTGTGGCAAACTGACTTGCTTTCTAGGGGCACTGCTAAGATTCTTTCAGCCTAACTGCTTCTGCCCCCAGAAATTGCTTCTGGAGAGCTCCAGTCTAGACGGCTACATGCCGTACCTTGCCCTTTGCCAACTAGTGAAGTGTTTAGCGCTGCCTACCATTTCGACTGTGAAAGGTCTTCTCCCAATCATTCATTTCTCTTCTATTAGCTTGAACGTTCTGTGGAAACGTGTTTCTCTTGTCATAGCTTGCATTGCTATTAGTGTTAATGTAGTTCAAGGAGTCAGAAGTCTTGTAGCTGAATATTAAAAATAGACATGTTATCTATTGGTCCTGTTTGGGATGTAGGATGAGTGACCCTAAAACATTCAGGTTTTTATAGAAAAGCACTTTAATGTTACCATATCCTCAGTGGATCACAGCCTTCAGTGCCTAAGATGCCCTGATGAAAGGCATCTTTCCTGTGGCTGCTCAGATCAAGCAGAGGACAGACTAGTTCCAGGTGTATCCAAGAGGATTTTCTGCCAACTGGAAGTCCCCGTTCTCGAAATGAGAAAAGCCTGTACCACGTGGCGAGAGACGAGAGGAGACCGGGAAACTGTTGGTACTCCTTAAAACAATCGTTGTGTCCATGTGGAAGTTGAGAATGGGAAAGATTCCTTATTAGTATTTTGCCGTAAAAAGAAAACAATATGTTCTCCTGGGCCTAAATGGATGGGTGCTCCTCCTAGGGGAGGAATTAGGCTGGTCTCCTCCTTCCACAATCACGGTCTACGTTCGCCTATAGTCTTGCTCGTTGGAACAGAGCCAAAATAGTGGGACAGGTAAAGAGTTGCTCCAAGGGGAGTGAAGTTTGTGTGTAGTTTGGCAGCCTACCACTCGTTATACTTGTTAGATTAAAGCACTAAGGTTTCTTGATGCAACTTTTCTGTCCCTTTTGCATAAGCCATATACTCAAATTAAGTGAACATTGCTATGCAGATTTCCTGCGTGTAAGCAGTTCGCATTCACATTGTAAAATATTCATGACAGTTCCAGTGTTGGTTTTTTTTTTTTTTTAAAGCTTATTTTTTCTAATTGGCCACCTTTCACTGGAGGTAAATGATATATTGAAGTAGAGATCTTTTCATCTTCTCTCATAATACCCTAATCTTTATTTCTCTTTATTGTCCCTTATAAGGGGAAGAAGTGGGAAGAGTTGCTTTTTGACTTTCTATACCACCACAGTAAGGTAGGTAGAGTGTGTAGCTAGGGTGATATACGAAAGGATGTAAAAGAAACCATTTAGGAAACGTTTGGATGTTTTGCTTTATGAAAGGAATGATGCAATTTAATGTGGTGTCTCTAAGTCTGTCTTTCAGCAAGGGATAATGTTTGGGGTAAGCTGGCTTGTAACTGGCTGAAACCCTCCTTGTTGTAATTAAATGCAACTTGCTCCTTTTGCTGCTGTGTGTTTTCTTGTGAACAGAGCTTGAACTCATTTGAATCTCATGCTGGCTTAGGAGGAGACACTCAGTCTCTCCTGTTAAATAACACGCCTCAGGCTGGGAACGCACACACTTATTCGAATATTTCTCATCTCTGGGATATGTATAAAAATCTTTTGGATTTTTTGCATCTTCTTTTGAAAGTGGTATAGTCTCGCATCTGTAGCTATTTGGGTTTTTTTAGCCACTGCAGTTATATATGTCTTCGCAGCGTATTGGCTTATTTTCTTCTGCTAATTACAGAGATGGTATTAATCTCTAAAATTGTGTTTGCCTTGGCCTGGCTTTTGCCAGAAAGAGCGAATGAGAAGGCATGGGTAAATAAAACATTGCATATGGGCTCCGCTTCCTGTGAAGAGTTCTTGAAGTGGAAAATATCATTGTTCCGATTTTGACCTTGAACTCGATGCAACTGTGCTGAAGTTCAAAGCCTTTCACCTGCACAGGTCTGGAGTCCGGCCGGTGGCTCTGGGGTCCTGCTGCGACACTTGCCTTGCAGCGGTTACCTGTGCCAGTACGCGTGTCTGATGCTACGGCCGAGCAACGCCCCGGCCTCGTCTCACAGAAGAGTTCATTTTCCCCGCTAAATGTAGACTGCCAAATATAAACATCTTTCAACCTTAAGAGAACGAATCTGTGAATTTGGATCCCCTGAGAGGTGGAAGTGGTCTGATGTGAGGCCATCCTGTCCTAGAGGACACGTGTTCCTCAATTCCTTCGTTTCCTCTAGCTTGTGTCATTTTTCTTCTTCACTGCTAAGACCACGTTATTTGCAATTAATCCTAGGCTTTATCCTAGCCTACCTCTGCCTACCATTTCAATAAAGAATGTGAAAAATGTTGTTATTATTCACCAAGGAAGTCTGAGCTGAGGAATTCATGGTGTCTTCCTGCATCTGTTTAAAAAAGGCCTGTATGTTTTCTCACCCGTTTCACCCTGTGTGTGCTCACTAAACAGTAAAATAGTATCTTCTTCTCAATTGCGTCATTCAAGTTGGCACTTGTGGAGAGGGGATTGTAATCCCCACAGGATGTGGGGGAGCCTAACGTAGCCAGTTCCCTTGCAGCGCCCGTTGGCTAGGGGCTGCTAAAGGAAGTAGCCTCGGCCCCTTTTCTTGTGTTTCAAAAGCTTTGGTATCTGTGCTAGGCCGAGCCTCTGTGCTTCAGAGCCAGCTCCCTGGGTTAGAGCCACGCGTTGATTCACACAGGGCCTCCGCTCTGCCGTTAGCCCGTTGCAGCTGCTGATGCAAGCGCTTCATTTCGGGCATGATTTATTTTACTTTTTCCTTCGCCGGTGCTGGTAGAGCAGCTGCAGGCAGAGCTGGGCCTTCACGCGGGGCAACGGACGCTCCTGCAGGAATGTGACGGGGAGCCAGCAGCTACATGGTGCGTTACGGAGGCAAAATAACTTATCCTCTTCTCCGGAGCATCCGCGATCCAGGAATACAGGGGGCTCCTGGCAGGCACAGTACAGCGGTAGTGCTAAACCGGGCTGCCTGTGCTTTCGCCATCCTGTCGGTGTAAACTTACGGCCCGGGTATTGCACCGATGGAGGGATTTGCATGTAAGGTAGATTACGCTTCTATTTTCTCTTCTGTTAACCATAGCACTGGAATTGCGAAATCAGATTAAGTCAGTGGCTTTAGATAAGCATCCTGCCCAAAGGTTGCGGAAGAGCATGGTCTGGCCAGCCAGGGGCCTGGGTAATCTTTTTTTTAAGTTACTTGGTGGCTTCTGTCTGAAACATGGTAATTCAAGTTTTGTCATTAGTCCAGGTGTGAATCCCTCCCGCTAAGCTTTCACTTCTCATGGCTCTCTCTTCTGGGAGAGTTTTAAATTAAAAACAAGCTCTGACTTCTGAAGGCAGAACTCAGAGCGGAGTAGCGCAGTTGTATTTAAATATGTTCATCTTCCCCAATAATTCTGCTGAGGCTTTTTATCTTTTTGCTGCTGCGTGGACAAAGGAAGGGTTGCCTGTGCCTTTTAATAATCCTCGTGTCTTTTAACTTCTGCTTCTTGTCTTCTTTTAACGTGGAGCAACAAGAACTAAGCACAGGATTTCAAGCGAGGACTCTGCTATTGATTTATCTCAAAGCATTGCAGCGTAACACGCTCTCTAGTCTAGCTCTTACAGCAACGCCTTTCCTCTAATAATAAAAACAAACTCTCCAAGCAGCCCAGAGGACAAGTTTCCCTCCGTGCAGAGAAAGGAGGTGATGGTACTTCCCCGTAAGAGCCTGCTGTGCCGCTGCCAAAGAGCTGCTCAGCGTTTCAGAGGGGCTGGTCTCTAAAGTGCTTTAAAAGCAGTCGCTTTCCACGGGAAGCTGCTCTTGAGTCCTTCTGCAAGCGCTTGGGCTGCTTCTCTCCTGTGCTCCTCTTCAGGCGCTCGTGTTGCCGTCTGTGAGGCCGCCCGCCCTCCTAGGTTGGGCTGGTTCCTGCTGGAGACCGTCGAGGTTCGTGTTCCCGGCAATGCCGTCCTCTTGCACGCCTGCTTTAAGTCACGTGCTGAGCTGAGGTCTGCCGGCTAGGAGGTGAACGACCTGCCGTGTGAATAACCTGCCCTCGCTGGGCTGCAGGGGGAAGGTGGTGCCGGGTCCTGCTGGCGTGTTTGCGCGGCATCGAAAGGCAGCGGGTGCAAGGAGAGCGTCGCAGCGGAAAGCGCTGACCGTGGGACGGAGCTTCTGCAACGCCTGCTCTCGGGGAAAAAAACATTCGGTGCAAGGAAGCCAGTCCCAGCTGCAGATCAGCCAGGGAATCAGAGCCGATGAGTTACGCCTAGGAGGCGCGAGCCTCGGGAAGCAGCTACCTGGGCGTAGAGGGGTGCTCTAGCTTGCCTCATCTCCAACCTCCTCTGAGGTCTGGCAAACGATTTGGAGGGCTTTCCTGCCCGCGGCATTGGCCAGAGATGGGCAACGGGGCCTGCTGCGTCCTTTCCCCCGGCCTGGGGCCAGGCTTTCGGGGGTCCCTGGCGCAGGGCTGGCAGGGAGAGCTGGGCAGGACCCACCCTGCTGGCAGGGGACAGCAGGTGGCAGCAAGAAATGCAAGTCCCTCTGCTCCGAGCTGGGGGCCAGAGCCCCGGTAGCCACTAAGGGCCGGAGTCGGCGCTCCTGTCTTCGTGCAGCACGTTGCTCCGGGCCCGCCGGGTTGGGAAGCGCAGCAGAAGGCCTGAACATCTCCTCCGGCTCTGAGGTGCGAGCTCGGACGCCTCCGCAACCCCTCTCCTAAGAACGGGGTTGCAAAACAGCTCCGCCGGGTAGCCCAGAAACCTGGCTTTGCTGCCGGCTGTGTCAGCGATTTAATCCGTCGGGCCAGGGAGGCTGGTTCATCTGGTGCGCCTCCAAACCTACGCAGATGGAGCCGAGGCGGCAGGGACGGCTTAGTGCCCCTGCCCTGCCTGCCTGCCTGCCTGCCGCCTGCCCTCTCTCCCACTCTGCTTTCCCTCGGGATTTGCTCTTTTTCGGTTTGCTTTTCATCTGTGCTCTCTCCTTTCAGGACAGGGCAACGGGCTCTGCCCAGTCGAGCTGTCCACGCTCTCCAAAGGCTCGGCCCGGATCCAGAGGTCACGGTATCGTCGGTGTTTTAACTTTGGCCGCGGATTTTGCAACTCCCCAGGGGAAAAAGGGAAACAAAGCTCAGTTTGTCTGGCATTTCTAGCAATCCCCTGCCTCCGGGCTGCAGCTGCCCCGTCGCCCCGCGCGTGCAC